ACCGTACGGCACCATCTCATTGGACAAGAACAAAAGGGGCGTTACTGTACGGCACCATTTTTCCTGGAGAACCCTACTTGGGTCACATTTCTCCTGGTTAACCTTAGTGTTGGGGTCAGGGTCAGGCTGTAAAGACATCAAGCAGGATCTAAGGATGCCGTTATGTAGGTTTCATAGCCCACAGTGTTTATGCTTTTGACACCCCCACTCTTGTGACACGCCCACTCTTGTGACACGCCCACTCTTGTGACACGCCCACTTTGATTCTGCAGATAACCCCTTCTCACACTACTTCTCACTCAGTGAAGCTCTTTTCAGATTCAAAATACCTTTGAGGAAATGTATTTTCAGATGCCAAGTAAACTGCATCATAGCGCACAAGCAAAACAAACCATCCCCATGTGCGCGCTTCTCATCACTTCCTCTTCTAAATGCCGTGAAATTGGCCTCTGTCTCTTTAAGAACCACCTTCCGCTTCTGTCCCGTCCATTTCAGTGCGGGGTTCATGCGTGCGCTATGATACAGTTTCCTTGGCGTCTGAAAATACTTTTCCTCAAAGGTATTTTTAATCTGAAAAGAGCTTCACTGAGTGAGAAGTAGTGTTAAGGGCAGCAGACAGCTTAAGTTTCACTTTCAGTTTCACCCGAGAGCCTGCAGGAGTCATGGGTGGGGTGCGTGTGTGTGTGTGTGTGTGTGGGGTGTGTGTGTGGGGGGTGGGGCTCTGCCATGAGGAAGTTTGGCTTAAAGACACGCCCCAGGGGCGTTCCTGGTCCCCACCTGTCGTTTTGCTCCTCAGCATGGCTGCAGGATTTCTCAAACATGCATGAATGAGTCAAAGCAAGCTTTGGGCATGTTTTTTCTGAGAGTATAACATTATAACATCATATAAAACTAAAAAAAAAGTTGATTTTACATGATATTGCCCCTTTAATATTTCTCATCATACTTTCCAATATTTCCCTCCTCCCTGCAGTGAGCTCAACATGTATTTGGAAAACAAAAACAACCTGGACATTGAGATGTCTCAGAGCCATGCTGGCCACCAGGGCAGGAGCGGGCTGAGGTCACCGGAGGCCGTCGCAGGAAACTTTGGGGAGCTGCGTCTCCTGCAGGGCATCTCAGAGAGAGGAGACACCCAGAAGCTGCAGCAGTCTGCCGTGCTGCCCTCAGGACAGTGTGTCCTCCACACAGAGGGCTTTGTTCCAGTTCGACAAGAGGAAGGGTATGGAAAGGCTTTGTACTTGGCACAAAAAGATAATAAATTAGTGTTTGGTAGTCAATTTTTCTACAATGTCCTCATACTGCTCATCCCACACATGCATGTTCCTTACAAATGTGGCACCTTAAAAGAGACTTTCCAATAGTATAAGACTTTTTACCAAGAAGCTTTTTTACAACAAAGAAATAATCTTCCAAACACTAATTTACTGACTTTTTTTTACATAGAATATGAATACTGAAGGCCCTGTCACACTGGACAACTTAATGCCAACTTATGAACATTTTAAAGATGTCTTCATTGAAAATGGAATTGAAAAAATCAACAGGGAGCTTCTTTTTGGCGTGTACATAATGTAATTCTAACAAATTGATCAAATATATAACATTTATTAGCAATTTAGACATAAAAGAATGCTTCATATGTTGGCATAAATTGTCCAGTGTGACATGGCCTTAACAAAGAGGTTTTGACTCTAACTGATTTTTAGTGTCATTTCTGTTTATCCTCCTTTTGGAAGCTTGTTTGTTACAAATTCTAAGCCTTATTTGTTTGACAAAACCTGTATTGGTGATTGTTAGATTGTATCTTTGTTAAGTCCACTGTTAAACATCTAGACTATAATGTTTTAGACAAATGAGAACAACTTATGAAAATGTYATGAATAAATCCCTCAGAGGTTATATATTCGATCTAACAGCACGTGTACGTCCAAAAGAGGCTTCCTGTTGACTTTTTTAGTCCATCGTCAGACAAAACTTTCAGAATTTATCTAAAACATGACAGCGGGACCTTCACTATAATTTGTTTCACTTCTTTTGGACATGAAAGCTTCATGTTCGCTGCTCTGTTTCCCAGAGAAAAAGTAAAACAGATTACGAGTCACTCTGTTCTCACTGGATTAAAGACATAACAGGATTTTAAGCCACACATGCAGAAAGATATTACATGTGATCCAACTGTTTAATCCTTCAGGGGATGCTTGGACAGAAGTGGAAAAGGCTCAGTTTCTTTTGAACTCATACCCCCCCCCCCCCCACACACACACAAATTGAAGTGTGTATCAGTGGGTGAATATCTCAAACTCTCAGGGGAGGCTCTAATCTCAGGCCCATGGCTGTGACGTTACGAGGATCAAATTGATTTTTTTCTTTTTTTTTGCTTGATGAAGTGAATCAGGTGATTCTCCTGTTGACAGTCCACTGGATCAGAATATGGTTAAAATCTTCAATTTAACAATAATCATATTGAAATGATTCAAAATAAAGGTCCTGTCACAMTAACATTTTAGACAAYTTTTACCAACTTATACGAAACGTTTGTTCAACACAAAAGATGTCTACGCTGAAGATGGAATTTTATGAAAATATCTACTGGAAGTTTCTCATGGAACTTTTCACACTGTAATGCTAACAATTACACTGAGAGCCGATGAGAGTAAAATAGTAAAATAGTCACAACAAAAATTTCACAAGTCAGCATAAGTTGTTGTTTTAAACCTCATAGTGACAGAGCTTTAACACTGAATGAGAAAAAATGGAGCCAATAAAATGAAGGTGACATTTGTGGATAAATAAAAACAATTTCAATGAATTAAAAAACWATCRAGTTTTACTTTACTWAAAGCTCATAATGTTCCTTGTATTYCTGTAGTTTAAAAGTTTTGAGGGATTCTTTCTGTTATTAATGAAACATGRTTGCATTCAACAAGTAGGAAAGGTTTTTTTTGGTCAAGACGCATTTACTTTATTAAAATAAAAGAGAGCGTTGTAGTGGTGATTTATTTTATATTTTTATGTTTAAACCCAACTCTGAAACATGATGACAGCAAAATTACAAACTTATATAAAGATTCAACAAAACAATAAATAAATAAATAAAAATTAAAATAATTTTGTGGTAAGTTATTAACAGCAGTGCAATAATCTCTTCAAAGTGGATTTTTTATTTTATTTCTTTTTTTTTTGTTAAAAACTATAAAATAGTTTTGAGGTTTTAGACACCAAGAACAGTGGACTGAAAAAATGAAGAACAGAAGGAACATACCTTYATTTTTAAAACAGAAAAAAATAACCTTTGTTTTGTTTGAAGTGTACATATACATATAGCTTAAATGTATATTACCGTTTGAAATCGTATGTTCAGTGTGATGGATTAAAACAGGATATTTTGGACATTTTAAAGGGAGATTATAGCAATTTTTAGCTCATCATTATGGTCCACAGCATTGTTCTGTCTTAAAACAACTTCAATCTTCAAAATAGTAAAATATTTTCATGTAAATGTTATTATCAATTCATAACAGAGCTCTCAGTTTTGCAGTACATGCCTTTTAAATTCTTGCCATAATGCACCAGGCTGTACCACAAGTGCTACAGGCTAGCTGCTRCTGCTGTAGTTTTACTCTTGTCTATTGAATGCCATTCAAAATATTGTGTATTGATGATCTAACAGTGAAAAGGTTTATGAAACAGTATTTGCACAACTGCCACTAAATGTYAGAGATTGCAGCCGTTTTACACTGGCAGTAATCTACTTTGGTCCTACATCAGAGTAGCTAGCTATAGCTAACGTTGTTTATAAAGCTATCTCCATCTACAACAGGTAAGATATTAATTGTTAAAACGTTTCCACCAATGATTTTGGCATTTTCTGCCTCACCATTACTGCAAGGTTACTGAGAGTTAAGGRTTTCTCTGTTAGAGTGTCAGAGTTTTACCTTGTCATTGTTTTCTCACGCTTCAGTTTCAAGAATAACTTCAGCGCCGTCAACTTCCTCCGAGGTAAAACAAATTCAGCCAACCTTTCAGAGAGGTCACCTCTGCTGAGATTCTCTCAAGATGACAGGTGAGCACTTCCTCAACCTTCTGGTCTGCTATAGAGAAACTCAGAATGGCTCACAACTGAACTAAATAATCAAAAATTGCAAAAGTTCTTTTTTTAGTTAATTTTTTTGAAAGAACAAGAAAACGTTTTTTAAAAAGCTAATTAGCTCCAGCTAGTAAACCTAGCTGCTTGTAAATTCAACAAGCATCTGTAAACAAGAACCAAAAGAGCACAAACTGTTACTCCRTATTGGTTTATGAGTTACAACATTTAGCATGTTAGCTGTTAACAAAAATAGAACATGTTGCTGTTTTTAATTGAACAACATGGAAGTCAAACACATTTTCACCGAGGGTCACATGAGCGTTACGGTGGTCCTCAAATGTCCAGTTCTAAACAACTTCAGTATTTCTTGTTAAACTTTGACTAAGCAGGAAACGTCACATTCCTCGTGTTATTACTTCGACTGAGCATCTCTAAAAAACTCTAATTGAGCTCGATGTGGTATTTCCTGCATAGAAACAGTGTTTAACACATCCTCTTACAAACACTGAGAAGTTCTGTACGACTGACTAAATGTGAAATAAATAAAACAAAAAAGACTAATAAAAGTAAAAGTAAGAGAGTTTTACTCACTGATGAATAGRGCTGCCACAAACGATTATTTTTATAATAGATAAATCACCGATTATTTTTTCGATTAGTCGACTAATCAGATCATACGTTAATTGAATATAAAACATAGAGCTTATTGCTCCAGAATGCAGCTGCTATTATATAACCATGGTTAGATTTTAGCTATATGCTAACTAAAAATAATTGCTGTGGAAG